TGAGAAAAGCCAAAAATGTAAAAAGTTTTATAAAGTAGTAATATCAAATGCTATAGAATGATTGAGATGGTGAGAACAGATCAATGAATTCCTTAAGACAGCAATTTCAGGAAGCTTGGTTTTGTTCATACTGTATTATTTAGTTTTAATTAGTTTTTAAAATTTTCTAACTAGGAACCCAAAAAGTTGACTCTGAATTAATTGAATGTAGCATAATCACATAAAGTCTTTTAAATCTTCAGTCTACTGATCAAAAGCAGGGAAGTAAGAGATTCTGAAGTGAGAGACAAGCTCCTGGTAGCCTGCAAAAAAGCAACCATTTATGTTATGCATGACCTCTGGGAGCCCTATGGCTAGAAACTGCTGGCAGCCTCCAGAAGCTGAAAGCAGTGGCTGGCAAGAGCCAACAACAAAACTGGCAATAAAACAGTACTTCAATTCTATGCGAACCTCATGAGCTTGGACAAAGTCCTTGATCTCCAAGTGAGAACCACGGCAAATACTTCTGTTTGCAGCCTTGTGTAACTCTGAGTAGAGAACCTACACATTCATGCCTAAACTTCTATGCTATAGAAACTGTAAAATAATCAGCGCACACTGTATTAAGCTGCTAAATGTGTGGTATTTGGTACATCACAATAGAAAACCAATACGGGTCCAACTTCTCTACGAAAGAGGCTGATTCTCCTACCCCAGCAATGGGCAGAGAAGCAAACTTGGGGGGGGGGAATACTTCTGGAGTCACTGTTTTGGAATACAACAGTCTCAAAATATAAATTTTCTAAAAATCATGAGCTATGTGAAATAGGTTTACTGTGAATTTTAGAAAGTTATTTTTGACAGTTCTGCAAGATTAAAACAAAACAAAACACAAACAAAAACCACCTGGGTATCTAGATGCCTCCTTGAATGTCAGCCACAGCTGTCCCAGCGCCAGGAGACATAGATCCTCAGGCTAATCTCACATATGAGCACAAGGTCATGACTCCTATTCCTGCTTCAAGTATCAGGAGTTTAAACTCCATAAAGAAAAAATATTTTGCTTTTTAGAGTTAGGAGAGCGCAAAGGTGTACTCAGCTATGAAAAGTCAAGTCCCTCCCAGTTAATTACAACCTTGACCCCTAAAACGCGGACTCTCTCAAGCAGTCCAGGCACCTCCTTATTAAAGATGCAACAAGCCGCGGCTACGCGCGTCCCACTGGGAATTGTAGTTCTCCCGCCACGACCTTCACCATTGGAAACTCAACACGCGCCCAACCGGCGGCTCGGAGGACAGCAGCGGGGATTGGTCCGCACCGCGAGCACCGCGGTGCTGACTGGATGACAAGTCCCCGAGGCCGCGCCTCCCGCCCCTCTACCTCTCCACACCCCAGCCCGCTCCGGCAGTAACCCTCGGGTAACCCAGCCCGGTGAACCCCCGACTAGGGAGCTACCCCGGCGCGCCCCGGCTCCTCAGCTATATGCCTTTGTCCCCGGGCCTAGACAGCGCCAAAGCCTTTCCCATTTTCCCTCGGCTGTCCCGCGCCAGCTTCCTCACGCGCTTTCTCCGGGAGTCCCCGCGCTCACCTGGGCCGCAGCGGTCACACCGGGCAACTGACAGGCCCGTAGCATTTCGACAGAATGAAGAGCGTTGCTGGCGTACGCGGGAACGGCCGCGGCCGGCGCGAATGAAGGAGGTCGTGCGTGCGTGGGTACGTAGCCCTGGCCGTACTGCCTCTGCGCCGGGCGCACCGGAAGGGAAGCCAACGCCACTACGCACGCGCGGACTCCGTCTCCTGCCCGGACCCTGCTAACCCCAGAGAGTGGGCCCCGCCCAGACTGTAGAAACCTCAACCCAAGGCCATTGGGCAGAACGAGGCGGAAGGGCGGATTCTTCTTCCGGGTCGGGCCCGGCTTTCTGTCAGCTCTGAATTGGGGTTACTAGGTGAACGGGAAGAAAGGGAACGTGTGGGCTTCAATCACACACACAAAAGCCACACTACATGTGACTGTTAGGAAAATGAAAGCAAAGAGACATCTTATCTGTCTCTGGCAGTTGCATAGTTCCTAGGAAGGAGTCGATTGAGGACAAGTTATGTAAATAATGGAGACGTCTGTGTGTTTCTTTCAATAGACCCTTTTCAGGGGGATTTACCCTTAACTGGAGCACGGGAGGCACCGTTGTGCGGAACGGGTTATTCCTGTGTCTAATAATGTCAGAGCATGGTTAGGAACCCAGATTTTTCTGGCTTCGCGGCTTCTACTCCTTGCAGACTGTACCACGTGCTTCCTCCTTTTTTATTTTAGAAAAAAATTAGGCCATAATTTGTGGCATGAGTGGAAAGATACGGAAGGCAATGCAGAAACACGCTTCAAAAGTATTCCACTGAGTCTGTAATACATCTCGTCAACATAATGAACATGTATTCTATGCCATGTAAACCCAGGATAAATACAGTTAAATATAATAGAGACCAGATAAATTGTATACTGTCTATTGTGTTTGCAAAGTACTTTCAAGTCCTAACTAGGTAATTATTACAACATGATATTCTCTCTAGAGGTTGACCGCACTACCGTTCTGTTTTGTAAAATAGAGGAATGGATTTGAAAATCTAAAATCAGATAGGTGTGTTGGTACATAGCCTCTGCTTTTTGGGGTGTTTTAGTAATAACATGGTATTCTTTCACACCTTTCGCATCTACCAGCCTCCAAAGCAGCCTCCGGTGCTCCTTAGTAACTTCAGCAGTCTGGCCCCATCCCTGCCACTGCTGACATACTAGATGATGCTGGTGTTGATTTTTTAAATGCCCTTATCCTTGGACTTCTCAATGCCAATAAACATTTTTATTCTTCTAAACCCAGATGATGTCACAGCTGCATCTTGGACCCGACATTCCTTCCTTCCTCCTTCCCTTCCTCCCTTCCTTCCTCTCTCTCTCCCTCTCTCTCTCTCTCTCTCTCTCTCTCTCTCTCTTTCTTTCTTTCAAGCAAGGTCTTGGAAGTTGTGCAGGAAGGCCTTGAAGCTGCCTTTTCTCCGGCCTCAACCTGCCTCATCCTGTCTTGCCCTCCTGTGTACATGGGATTACAGGGGAAACACCACCAGCCATCTTCTCCTTAGTTTTGATCTGCCCCAAAGAATATTTTTCAGTCTTACATTCTCTATTTATCTTCCTAAGTGTGAACTCCTGCTGTGGTGACATACACCTGTAATCCCAGCACTTGGAAGGCTGAGGCAGAAGGATGGCAGAAGTTTGAAGTCAGTCTGGACTACACAATGAGATCTTATCTAAATATGCCCCCCAAAACTGATGCTTACTCATTTCAGCTACTAAATAAATGTTTATTATAATTCGTGGTCTATTTCTAGGTAGTTCTTACAGACATTTTAGAATAAGATGGTAAGAGTATTTTGTTGTCTTTCCCTGTTTGAATTTTAATATCAAAAGTATGTGCGATTACTAATTCCCAGAAATAAAATAAAGAATGTAGAATTATTCATGCAGAGTTGAGTCTGCCCTACTAAATAAAGATTATTATTATATATACTATATGATATATAATATACAATATATGATATATAATATAATAATATTGTATATAACATTATATATAATATATACAATGATTTTATATATTTTTTATATATATATATATATAGGGTTGAGAGTATAGCTCAATGGTACAGCGCATGCTTAGCACATACAAAGCACCTTGATTCAATCCTCAACACCAGAAAAAAAAGATGTAAAAAAATGTGTGGAGTGTGTGTGTGTGTGTGTGTGTGTGTGTGTGTGTGGCATCCTTAGGTGATTGCCATTCGTTTGATTATCATGCAGGTTTTTTTCCAAACATTGTTGGGCATGGTGGCGAAAGCCTGTAATCCCAGCACTCTGGAGGCTGAGGCAGGAGGATTGCCGTAAATTTGAGGCCAGCCTAGGCTACAGACTGAGTTCAAATCCAGTCTGAACTACATAGCAAGACACTGACCCAAACAAACAACAAAACAATGACAACAAAAGATTTTTTTTAATTTTATTTATTTATTTATTTATTTTGCTTTCTTGAGACAGGGTTTTTCTATACACTTCAGGCTGGCCTTAAGCTCATTTTGCAGCGGAGGCTGGCCTCAAACTCACATAGATCCTCCGGCATCAGCCTTCCCGAGTGCTGGGATTACAGGTGTGGGACACCACACCTGGTAACAAAAGATTTTTAATATTACTACTACTTTTTCCATTCAGTTGTCCTAGCATCTTCCAGCTTTTTAAAAGGGTAATCAGCCAGGCGTGGTGGCGCACACCTGTAATCCCAGCACCCAGGAAGCTGAGGCAGGAGGATTGTTGCGAGTTCGAGGCCAGCCTGGGCTACAAAGCGAGCTCAAACCAAGCTGAACTGTATAGCGAGACCCTGTCTCAAAAAAGACAAAAATAAATAAATAAAAATTTTTTTTTTGGCTTTTTTTTTTCCGATACCGGGAATCGAAGTCAGGACCTTGCGCTTCCCAGGCAGGCGCTGTGCCACAGAGCTAAATCCCCAGCCCAATAAATGAATAAATAAATAAATGATAATCAGTATTATTCTCTGAAATAAGCTTAATAACAAAAAAATTTTTCACTATATCGTGTACTTTAAGTAGACCTTTCAAGCACATGCTCGCAAACGTTTTGAAAAGCCAGATGCCTGCAGTCCCCACCATTCAAGTGGCTGAGATTGGGTGAGCCCAGGGGTTCCAGGCCAGCCTAGGAAATTTAGCTAGATTTTCCCCTCCCCCCACAAAAAAAGCCGGACGTGTCATGCATTCTTGTAATCAATCCTGACTTCTTGGGGAACTGGGGTAGGAGACGCGGCACCCCCCCCCCGCCCCCTATCCTATATGCTTAGGACTCCGGGCAGTTGCTTGACAGTGGCAAAGGACAGAACTGACCTACACCTAGTAGACATTTAGTAAAGATTGAATTGACCACGCCTTTATTCTTCCCCCTACTCCTGACTCCGCCCCGCTTTTTTTTTTTTTTGTTCTTTATTCTTTTGCTCTGGAGCTTTTACACCCCAGGCAGCCACCGTAGGTGAGGGTGGCAAGATGGCAGCTTCCGTTTTAGCGAGGGCGTTGAGAGCAACCTCAGGTCGGTGGAGAGCTGCGTGCTCCATTTATGGCTTCACGGGCGGAAAACTGGTGTGGGATGGAGGGAGTGTCTAGTCTGGAGGATAAGAGGAAAAATAGGATCATTTTTCAGGGCCAGAGGATTGCTTCTAATTTCGTTTGGGGCCCGTGTGGCTGGCAGCTCGTAGCGGGTCTCTGACTCGTACCGACTCTGGTTTGTGTTTTCCGTTTCACCTTGAGAGTCATTTAATTTTTTAAATTGAATTTTAGATTCTACAGCCGTAAAAGTCACATAATACCGCCTAGCTGGGGATTAAATAACCTCAGACGCGAAAGTGTCTTTGCGTACTGCCTGGGACACGGTAAGCTTGAGAGTCGCGACTGATTTCTAACCACAACCCTCAGTAAAAGGGGGAGTATAAGGTTTCTTAATTGGGAGATACAGGGGTGAAAGCAGGACTTGTTGCAAAAGTTAAAAATACCCACTGTGGTAGGATGATCAGTAAGCTATTTTAACATAAAAAGTGTCAAGAAGGAAAAAAAAGCCCAACCATATAATTTTTTTCCAGGTGTTAGAGAAGAGCTTTTATATGTGGGATATGTTTTGTGTGCACAAAACATAGTATGTATAAAGAAAAAGTCATACAATGTGTGTGAATGATTTAACGACTGGAAAGCAAACCTGTGTAATTAAAACCCAGGTCAAGACAAGCCCTTTCTCCACTCCTGTACATGTCCTCAGATCAGACTTCCCTCCTTCCCCCAAATACAAACAGTATTCTCATTTTTGTAATTATATGGCTTTTTTACTTAATGAGATTTATTCATTTTTCATGTACCTGTAATGTTTTCTCATCCCTATAATGTAAACTTTTATGTGACCATTCTATAATTCTCCATTCTAATGATAGACATGTGGGTGTATCCAGTTTGGAGGTCATTATGTACAATGCTGATGGACCTTGTGTTTAAGGAGTGTATAAAGTATAAAACTAACTGCGGAATTGCTGGGTCAGAGTATGTATATATTCAACACTGCCTGATAATGCCAGAGTTTTCCAAAGTGATATGCTTACTTAGTTACCCAACACTTTGTATCATCAGACCGACAAAATTTTGTCAATCTGATGGCTATGTAGTGGTATCTCATTGAAGTTTAAATATGTGTTTCTCTGATTAGTAATGAGTTTTAGTACATTTACACATGTAGATTGGAATTTTTGAGATATTTTTCCTCTGTAGTAGGGGTTGAATCTAGGGCTTTTATTTATTTATTTATTGTCTTTTTTTTTTTTTTTGAGACAGGGTCCCACTATGCAGTTCGGGCTGACCTTGAGATCACTTTGTAGCCCAGGCTGTCCTTGAACTCAAAACGATCATCCTGCCTCAGCCGCCTGAGGAACCTAGGGCTTTTGCATTGAGCTACATCCTCAGCCTTATTTTGAGACAGGATCTCGCTAAATTGCCCAGGCTGAGCTCCAACTTGCAATCTTTCTGCCTCAGCCTCCCAAAGTGCTAGGATTACAGGTGTGCACTGCCACACTTAGCTTTGAATTTCTTTTTTGAAATATCCACATAAATGTTTTGCTCATTTTTCTGTTGGGTTTTATTGTTTTATAGATCCTTATAAATTTTGCATATGTATAGCATTTTTTGTTCATGCATGTCCAGTATCTTCTCTGACCCCGGCCTATCTTTTTTACATTATTTGCTTTTGTTTTTGTTTCTGTTTTTCTTTTTCTTTGAAACAGGGTCTGGCTACGTAGTTCAAACTGACGTTAAACCACTGGGTAGACCAGGCTGGCCTCAAATTCTCAGTCCTCCTGCTTCAGCCTCCTGAATGCTGGGATTATAGGCATGTGCCACCACACCTGGCAGGGGTGTCTTTTGATGAAAAGAAATTTTTATTTTTACCTTTTCATAATCCTTGTATTTCTTAAATAGGTGATGTAAATCATATCAACTTGCTACATTTAATGACATTGAACACACTTTAAAAATGCAATAGCTTTTTTTTGATGGCTTATCTTTAAATATCAGTGTTTTAAATATATTAGAAACTATTTTCTATCTTTTTTTAGCAATTTATTTATTTATTTAGTCTTTTTGAGACATGGTCTCACTATGCAGTTCAGGCTGGCCTTGAACTCACCAAGTAGTCTAGGTTGGCCTCAAACTCACAGTGATCCTCCTCCCTCAGCCTCCCAAGTGCTGGGATTACAGTCATGCATCACCATGCGGGAGTGGTGGCATAGTTTTTGTATGTGTGTGCAGATTAACAAACATGCCTCAAATAACTTTAGAGCCTTCATAAAAATTGGGAACAAAACAAGAATCATGTGAATAGCAATCAGCTAATCTGGGGATAGTTTCTGGCTAATGTGGAATCCTTTATTTCTTTAGAATATAAAGAGACCCTTTTTTTTAGATGCCTTTGTAAACTCAGGCTATACCATGGCTAGGACATTACAAAATTTCCTCTGGCTATAGTGGTGGTACAAAAAAAAAGAAACAGAACCACGCATGGTGGTATAAGCCTGTGATCCCAGCTAGTCAGGAAGCTGAGGCAGGAAGATGGCTTGAACATAGGAGTTTGAGGTCAGTCTCAAACTGAGGGCAACATAGACTCCATTTCTAGGAAAAGATAGGAAGGAAGGAAGTTAATTGAGAGGAAGAAATTTCTTTTTGTTTTGCCCTGCCTCATGTCCACTTCTTCTTCCTGGGCATCTCTGCTACAGTCAAGCAAGCATTGTGCAGTCTCTGTCCCCTGCCCTACACATGCATGAGTGTCAGCCCCTAGACCAGTGATCGTGAACGTGTTAGAGCTTTCAGTGGTAACAAACAGCTCACTGTGACATATGTGCTATAGGTTCACCACCACTGCCCTAGAGCTTTGTTAATGTTGCTCATGCTCTCCAGTATGTGTTCCTCCTCCTCCTTCTCCTTGAAGGGCCTGTTCATATTCACAAAGAGAACTCAAATGCCTCTTCTCTTGTTACTCGGTTGTCTTTCCAGGAACAGCTTGTGCTTTCAGGTCTCTGACCTCTCACTGCCCTGAGTATAAGGTTGGGTTGGGAATTAATTTACACATGCATACCATGTCCCCTAGTACTGGATATAGAGCCAGGATACATTACACTGCATTTTGATGATAGTTGTATAATCTCTAAATATCTTAATAGTCATTGTATTGCACCACATAACATGGGTAACTTCATGGTATGTATACATCAGTAAAGTTGGTTGAAAGCTCCATAGGTAAATGTGATGCTCAGGACATTTTAATTATGTTTAATATTTGGTTGCTTTGCTGGGCATAGTGGCACACGCCTGTAATCTCAGCACTTGGGAGGCTGAGGCAGGAGGATTGTCGTGAGTTTGAGACCAGCCTGAGCTACATAGTGAGCTCAAGGCCAGCCTGAACTGCAATAGCAAGACCCTGCTTCAAAAAAGACAAAAAAAAAAAAAAAAAATTTGGTTGCTTTGGAACATTAATTTAATTTAATTTTATTTTTTTGAGACAGGGTCCCACTATGCAGTTCAGGCTGGCCTTGAGCTCACTTTGTAGCCCAGGTTGGCCTCGAACTCGAAAGATCCTCCTGCCTCTCTGCCTCTTGAGTGCTGGGATTATAGGTGTGCGCCACCACGCCCGGCCTTGGTACATTAATTTTAAATGCTAGTGCATATTTTGGAATATCATTAAATGTATGTGTTTCTCTGTATCTTTACAGGAATCTTACGCCCTGTGAATATTTTGGCATCTTCAGCCTATCGAAACTGTGCCAAGAATGGCTGTCTTAATTCTGCACTCTCCACTGGACATTTTAGTCTTCTTCATACACCAGTTGTTTCTTCTGCTCCCCGACTTGTCACATCTGTCAGAAGTGTCACATGTGGATATACTGCAACGATCCTTAATAGGTAGTGTTCATTTCAGTGAACATGATGTTTAGATAAAATTTTAAAATATTCATACCTGGGCTGAGGGTAGAATCAGTGGTAGAGCATGGTAGAGCATGCTCAGTGGTAGAGCATGTGCCTAAAATTCATAAGGCTCTGGATTTGATCCCCAGCACTGAACTAGATTAGAATAGAATAAAATAGAATAGAATAGATAAAATATTCATGCCAAGTGTGGTGGTTCACACCTATAATCCTAGTACTTGGGAGGGTGAGGCAAGAGGATCCCAAATTTAAGGAAATCCTGGGCTATCTAGTAAGTTGAAGGCCAGCCTGGATACTTAGGATAGCCTGTCTCAAAAAACCATAAATAATTAAATAAAATTGTCATGCTGGCAAGACAAGACATTTTAGAAGGTGAGTAGGATACATTCGTCGGGTTGGCGCGGTGGGTTTTGTTTGGTTATTTATTTACATTTGGGTGCCTGGGCATCGAACCCAGGCCTTTGTACAGGTCTGAACTCTACCACTGGCCAGAGCACCAGCAGGGGTGGGTTATAGAAGGCCTGCCATTGGTGGCAGCTGCCGTTCTTATTTATGCGTAGCATCTTAGCATGTTTGAAGCAATATAAAAAGTTCCCTACTTTCCAGTAGAGCGGCCTTACTCATTTCTAATTACTGTGTAGAAATAGGTGTTATTCTTTAATCAGTCTGACTGCTGGTTAATTTTGTGATATATTCCAGAGTGGCTTCCTCGCTCCCCGACATCCTGACGGTGCCAGTCAGAACTCTGACGTACTGCAGTGCACGAAAAGGCAAGAGAAAGAGTGTGAAAGCTGTTATCTATCGGTTTCTTCGGCTTCATTCTGGCCTTTGGCTAAGGAGAAAGGTGAGATTTTGGGCTGCAGATATAGCTCAGTGGCACAAGCGCCTGCCTGGCAAGCGCAAGGTCCTAAGTTCGATTCCCGGTACAAAAAACCAAAAAAAAACACCTTAAGCTTACTTTGTAGCCCAGGTTGGTCTCGAACTTGCAACAGTCCTCCGAGTACTGGGATTATAGGTATGTGCCACCACCCCTGGCCTCTTCTAGTGTTAACAGGCTGTGATTATTGTTTTGTTTTGTTTTTTGAGACAGGGTCTTGCTCTATACTTCAGGCTGGGCTTGAACTCATGGCAGTCCTGCCACAGCCTCCTGAGTACTGGGATTACGGGCCTGCACCACCATGCCCAGCTGATTATAGTTTTTATATTTAATTTTCTTTCAAAATAAATTCCTCAAAATGAATAATCATAGGTGGTGTATATGGAAGTTCTGAGTTAATTAAATGGGTTAACTCTTCCTTCACCACTCCAGATAATAGTTGTACTATACTCATTACTCCTTAGAAAAGTATCTCCTACAAATAGCGGTCCGTAGAGTGTGAAAAGAATAAATGAAGCCATGTATTTTAGAACTATACTTCTCAGCCCTTGTAACATTCAGTCCCTCAATAAGAAATGAATGTTACTACCTTCGCTGGTACTTCCTTGCCCATCCTGCACACTGGGAGAGACATAAAATGTGTAAGTGGGTGATCTATAAAATGAGAATAGTGCCATAGAAAATTGCTGTAGAGATAATGCATGTATAATTAGGTATTGTAATTATATCATTATCTTTTACCTCACTAATGCAACAGATTTACTTAACTTTATTTTCCAGAATATTAAATTATCTATTAATATTTCTTTTTCAAACTACACATGCTTTTTCTACCCACTCCTCATTGAGATGTTTCCAGAGTCGTGTTTTTGCTCCCACTGAGCCAGTAAACTATGAGTTGTAATAATAATCTGTTGTTTCCTACATAATGTAATGTTTTAAATGTTTGCAATATTATTTCACAGTCGGGGTATAAGAAGAAATTATGGAAAAAGACGGCTGCAAGAAAAAGACGCTTGAGAGAAATTGTGTTCTGCAATAAAACGCAGAGTAAACTCTTAGATAAAATGACGACATCCTTCTGGAAGAGGCGAAACTGGTATGTGGATGATCCTTATCAGAAGTATCACAACCGAACAAACCTGAAAGTATAGATTGGAAATTTTTAATTGTTATTGAATCTGTATCTTTGTGTACATGATGTCTTCCCAAAACTGACAAAGTGTAAAACTTAATAAATTTGAGTAGCTTGTGTATAAACATAGAGTACTAATGCTCAACTTATGAAAGTTTTAACTCAGTGGATTAAACATTCCCAGTTTTGGTCAAGGAACTACAAGTTGAAAGCTGTGCATTATTTTTAACAAATAGTTGTTCCAACGAGGCTTATTTAGTGCAAGAAATCTCAAGTGAGGAAAAACATGGAAAAACTCAAATTAGCTCAGACAGTGTGACACTAGTATTAAGGATGTGTGCCTGGGAACTCAGGAACCAGCGCCCCAGCTTTGCCTTCCAGCAGAACTCACCCCAGGCCTCACAAAGAGCAGACCAGGTGGTGCTCCTCAGCAAGAGATTGGAGATCTGCAGGCTCAGGTTCTGCCGAGCTTGTGACTCCATTCTCTCATATTATTGACTTGACTCTACCCACCAACCTCTCTACTTCACAGCTTGTGTTTACATAGAGTTTCAGTTCCATCATAACAGGTTTCCTTGCACCTTTGAGGTTCTTTTCTCCTGTCTCGAAGTGGCAAGAGTCTCTAACTAGGCCAGCTTCCATTTTACTTCAGGCGCTACCACCCAGTGTAGGCATTGGCTGTTCTTAGGTCAGGAGCCCACCCTGGCCCACTTTTAACAGGTTTGTGTGCGGCAAAAAATAGTTCTGTGAGCAGTTTTGCTTAGAGGTGAGCACAGGCTAACAACACTCTTGGCGTACAGGAGCCTAGATTCACTGTGTTCATGACAATTCTCATTTGGTTCATTGAAGCAGGATTTTTTTTATAGAAGAGTAAATGAAATAGCTTCAGTACACCCTTCATTGAAACAGAAGAGGCTAGGTGAAGATACTCAAGTTTAGAAAGATATCACATTGTTTAAATGTTAGTGTATCCATTTGCAATTTTGTAGTTTCATTTGCAAGGACAGACTTCCAAATTTTCTAAAAGTGCATTGTAGAAACTCAAGGGGAAAAGTAATTTCGATCATTTTAGAAGTGATGCAAGAGTTCAGCAGTATTTATTTGAAGAGGAGCAGTAATGCTTATAGTCAAAGGTAGTGGTTCTCAACTCTCCCATCAGAATCTTCTGGGAAGGCAGGAGCGCTTTGCCTAGTTGAAAACTGTTGTTAAGCAGAGCTATGGATTTCTATTTAAGTCGTTTAAAACAATAGTTGGTGATGATAAGATAAAGTTCCTCTGTTATTAATAGAATAAGATAACCAAGTTGAAATTCTGTGGCTTACCAAGCCAAGAATATTAGGGAATTCCTTAAAAGCAATGTGTGCTCATTAAATGGAAAAGGGCTGACAATAGAATGTTCTAAAAGCAGAAAGCTAAGTACGTGTCTGTTACTGGGACCAGTGAGTACAGAATGGGCATTTGATTTGAGGTGAGGTAGGAGCCTGGCACATGGAATGGCATTCTGTTTTGGGGGTTTTCCTTTCTTCATACTTCTGGGATGGCAGATGCCACCACTTCTAAGACTCTTGTATTTCTCCTCCCCTGCCTGGCTCCTGCGCTCCATCACACCGCTGGTGGTGGGGATGCACTCACGTCTGCAGAAGTTGAGGAGGAGGACACTTTCCACAAGGTCTCTGGTACAGGGCCCTCACAGCACCTTGGTTTCTCTTCTAGGCCAGGGACAGAAAGGGCAGAGATGCAGGCTGCCAGCCAGGGCTTTGGTACCCAGAGATGGGCTGATGGGCCTGCTTCTGAGGGGAAAGGGACTTCCATGCATACACATTTCTGTTTTGTGGGTAGGAGGGCTTGACCGTAAAATAACTTTCGTTAAGTTAGAGTACCTAAATGATGTTCAAGTGTATGTATAACTGGAAAGTAGATGCAGAGTTTATCCAAATGTATAATTTATTGAATACTTACTATGTCCCAGCATACCTATAAAACTAGACACATATCTACAAAATACTAAACCTTATACTAACCTTGCAAAGAAGATATCATTTATACCTAATTTAAATTACCCAAAAGTATAGCTACTACGTCGCAGAATCCCAGCCTAACTCCTTCAAAGACTATGTATTTCCTTCACTATTCTAACTTATGAAAATAATACATCTAAGTGAACAAGCGCCTGGAGCCTAGCACTATATTTTTGTCATTTTTATTAGTACGTGCTTGCAGCACACAGTGATCACAGTCTTCGTGGGGCACTGGCACATGCACATAACGCATCGTCATTGCTTTCTCATCCCCTTCTCCAGTACTGTAGATACTGACTGCTTCATCACACTGTACCAGTTCAGCTTTTGCACTTTATAACTTAGCTTTCCTGGTATTGGCTGACTCAACCTTGTTAATCTCAGGTCTGCTGACATTGTACCTGGCTCAATAAATTAAGAAAATGGATTTCCAGACTTTTTTTCCCATCTCTTCCTGCTGTCTGTCCTCTAAATCTGCTTCTTTTCTGCTGCTGCTTTATTTTATAGTCTGTGTGTCAAAATATTGAATATAGGATCAGGAAAGCAAAGAAAATGTGTTTAATTTTGATGTTTCTAAGTCTTTGGGCCCCTACTTCCCCATGAAACTCAAGTCTTCCTTCCTTCCCTCCTTCCATCCTTCCTTCCTTCCTTTTTCTATTTTTTGTAGTTCAGGCTGGCCTTGAACTCACTATATAGCTCAGGTTGGCCTCCAACCATGGTGATCTTCCTGCCTCAGCTTCCCGAGTGCTGAGATCACAGGTGTGCACCATCACACCTGTGTCTTGCTTATATTTAAAGGCAAGGCAGGGCCAGGGATATAACTCAGTGGCACAGTGCCTGCCTGCCAAGTGCAAGGTCCTGAGTTCGATTCCTGGTACAAAAATAAATAAATAAAGGCAGGGTCTACAGTAGGCTTAAGGGAAGGGCATTCCTGCCACCTACAGTGGCCTTGCCTCCCAATTACTCTTTGCAGTAAGCATGGGGTTGAATTTCATGAGTTAGCCATTGAGAGTTCAACTTCTAATCCTGCTATTGCTGGCCCTTTTTGTTTAGTTTTCATTTTTTTATTTTGAGAGTGCCTCACTAACTTGCCCAGGCAGGACTTGAACCTGCGAACTCCTGCTTCAGCCTCCCTAAATGCTGGGATTATAACCATGTGTCACAATGCCAGCTTCCTTTTACTGTTTGTTTTTTTTTTTTCCTTTTTGGAGACAGGTTCTTGCTAAATTGCCCATGGTTGGCTCAAACTTAACAGTCCTCCTGCCTTAGTCTCCCAGAGTTCTGGGTTTACAGGAGTGTACCACCATATCCAGCTCCTCCTACATTTCTGAAAAAGTATTTTCTTTTTCCTCATGAGTCCAACATTACAAAGATATTCTTTAAAAGAAAAATGTTAAGACTTTATTCAAGATGTATATCAGGCATTATAACAAAACAGCAGAACTTCAGCCTTTGGAATACTGTAATTTTACATCCCTTTGATACACAGTCCAGTATACTATTTAATTACAGATCGTTCTATCGACTTCAGAAATAAACTAGAGGAAATGTGCACAGTCACAGTCAAGAACATCAGCTCCTTGAGTGTACACCGGTAGAGGAGGCCCATCCTTTGCCATTTCAAATACTGTGCGAGGTGAAGAACTAGGAAGGCTCAACGATGGCCGTGGTTGACAAGCACTGTTAGCACAAACACGTGGACAGCTACCACAGAGGACACACTTCAAAGGCCAGCGTAGTAAGCAAGCTATTCACACAGAGCAGGAGGGATTGTGACTGAACGCTCCAGTTGATAAGCACAAGACCACACCTCACCATGTCAGAAATGGAATAGGAGCTCAATGGCAAGTAACTAAAAGTTTTGACATGGAAATTACAGACTTTTGAGCTAGCATTTTGTAAACAGCCTGTGTCTGTAAGTGAGTAAATTAAAAAAAAATTCAGTTATATCTTCTAGACAGAACACCACACCACTACGTGTACACTGATAGGCATTCACATTTTATGTCTGTCCATACACAAATATACAGCTTGTTGGATAAGTAAACACATTGTGCCAGAACTATGACAGCTACTTTCAGTTGTACAGTGAGTGTCTTCAAGAGAGAAACCAACCCTCTGGTCAACCCTTGAATGAAAAATTTGCATTTACATTAAGACAGCAGTTTGAATATACCTTATATTTTTAAATCTTAATACAGCATGTCTGAGAAGAGTGCTTCAAACTGTTTTCCTTTTGGCATAGCTGAGTGCAAACTTGATTCGCCTGGACTTGTTACAACTTTCCATTGTAAAATGGTGAAAATACAGGATTTTGAAATCTGCTGTTAAAGGCATTTGTTATTTAGCAAAACAAAAGTTTACTGAAAAGCTGCTTAAGCTTTTTCGCACTTATTTCTGATAGTTGTGGCTATGCTCAACTAATAGGTAAATATATTTTATGGAGCATAGTTTTCCTTTTCTGGAACTATTCAGTGAGCTTGAAGAGAACAGGATTTCTATCTTCTCTAACAGGTTTAGGTACTGGTGTGGGGCATAGACAATGAACAGACCGCTTCTATTTGCCGATTCAATTTGCTTTTACATCTGTTTTCTTAAATCCTTTTGTAAATTACAAAATCACCTTCAGAGGAAGTGTGGGAAGAAAGGATTTTGGTATGTTTACCTGGCAACCATCAACTTCAACTAAAACCCTTTGTAAGGTGGCTAAGATCCAGCCAATGTGTCATTAGCAAAGGCCACCAGTGCATGTTCGCTTAGCTCAGTGACGGGACAGTTTTAATGAGGCCTGCCTGCTTCTAGTCAGTGGACAGTGAGTTCTAAGTGGTATACAACACTACTTCTCTAGTCTGTGGGGCTTATCTACGAACAAACACAATCCAAATATGAGTACCAGGGTTGTGACCACTGCATGCAGCACACGGAAAGAAAACACCAACTCCAAGCACAAGTATACTAGTCCTACATTTTGGCTCAGTTCTCAGAGGGGAGGGCAGCTACCTCAGACCACAAATCCATCTAAATCAGATTCTTGTTCTCAAATAAAATCCTCAGTCTTAGCAGGGGGTCCCCTCAGTGCTTTCTTCCCCTGCTAAGCAATCCTGGCTGATGGAAAACATCCGAAGACCCAGTGCCTATGAGCATGAGTCCATTTGCATTTACACACCACTCAGGCCAGGGAGGGAGCAGAAGGGGTGAGCCGCAGCTCCCCATGGAGCTGAGCAGCGAGTTCTCTGTAAAGATCTCAACCTCTAAAACCTTTCAGAACCCACCCTTTGGGTTGTTCTACATGTATCTCATGTATTTCAGAACATACTTGAAACAAAGCATAGTTCTAGCCTTTTGTAGGGTGTTTTGTTTCTTTTTGCCTAGCGTTCTCTGAAACAGGGTGCTCAGACTTCAGGCTTCACCACCTGAGGAAGTTAGCCATGGCACCGGCCTCTCTGAAGGAGAAAGGAGTCATGTGGCAAGACTTGAAACGCTCACAATTCTTCTAACAGCTGTAAGTCTCATCCCCAAGAAGTTTTGCCAAAGGTGAGCCACCTGCCCACGGCAGGGTTAACACCCCTGGCAGGGCTCAGAGACTCCTAGCCCTGACCCCAAGGAGGAGATGAGCTTCTGGTGCCTTCCTAACCTCTCACTAACACTCATCCCTGATGCTAAAAGTCTCTACTCCTGACTTCTCCAGTCTGTTGACTACACAACCATTAGAAAAACACAGACACCATCTTCCTGTGGGAAAACGGATGTTTTACTGGAGCTGGATTTGGAAGCTTTATAAGCACATTGGAGACATTGTCTAGAATCAAAATTTATATATATATATTTCTGTTTTTGCAGTTTTCTCACTTAGAACCTCTGGCAGCCCTTGCATGTTCATTACATTAAGCCAAAAGCCATAAATATGTACATCATTGTCCAAAGTATTAGTACCAAAACCAAAAAATGTTTTTAAAAAAATTTTGTTTGCATTTACAGGACTAAAAACTAAGTATGCAACAGATAGATTACAAATGTACATGTCAGCAGCAAAGGGGTGATTTCCATTTCTAAACACAATGCTGTTATGACAATTCAAGTGTGGAACATCACTAATCTCAGAAGACTCAAAGGTCACCCCACCCCCACCTTTCCCTTCAGCCTCTCCCCAGCAAAATAAAGAGAAAGGGAAAAATAAATTCTTAAAGGTGGGCGAGGGGAGCAAGAAAAGGCCATGTCTGAGGCTGCACACTCAAAGCACACCCAGCCTGCGGATTTCTGTTATTAGTGACTAGCTCTTTAAGGCAGAGGAGAAACATTCTGTGGATCCGGTGCTGTTGGCTCATCTCACTCACGTGGTTTCAGCGGCTGAGGATGAGGTACTTTTCTTCCGGAAGCGAGATCGAAGGATTCTAGGCGGTGCCTGGAAAAAAAAGGGCATCCATGAATGTGGCCCCTTGAGGACAGCACCTGGGGGAAGGGGTCGTCCAGTGTGGTGATCAGCTCCTTCGGCCTGATGCGTTTGGGTGATGTGGTAGGGGGAGAAGGGGCTCCCTCTGAATCTCCACAGCAGGAACCGGACTCCAGAAGGGCACTGCACCCACTGTGTGAAGCTGAGCCCACTGAGAAGAATAATACCCCCTCTGCCTGCTGCATGTTTGCTAAGTCCCCAGGTCTCGCAAGGAAGGGGTGGCAGAATGACACATCTGTCTTGTTTCCGCCTGGGGAGCAAGTGATCTTGAGTGACTCAGCAGATGGAAGAGCCTGTCATCTCTTCCCTGGTCTTTGTTCTTTCCTTTGGGAACCGGCCTCGTGTTTCTTGGTATGCGCTTCAAACTTCCAGTGCTGATTCTGGATGTGGAACCCTTTGAGGCACAGCAAACCACACCACAAAGGCAAACACCACCTTTAAGTATCAAGGGTTCCACCTCCCCTCCCCCATAAATGACCCCCAAGACACCCCTTCCTTCCATAGGGTACCCAAATCACAGGAGGATTACTATAGCACTCCAAGGGGTTCACACAAGTAGCCTCAACTTGTCCTCTGCACTGTCCTGTTTGTCTAGAGGGAGAACTTTCTCCACACTGTCCTTTCCCTCTGCTGTTCCTTCTGACTGGGAGCGCTTTCCTCCCCCCATATCAATCCCCCGGAGCACCTAGTTCACAGTGGCTTCTGCACAGGACTTCCTGAGCCACTTCCCAGCCACACTCACATGAGGCTTCCTCACCAATTTTGTCCTTTGGCAGCATTTTGTGCATGCCACACAGCAGAAGCCTTTGCACCCAGGGGTGGGTGGGTGGGTGAGTGGGTGTGTGTGTGTGTGTGTGTGGCCCTCTGCTCATGGTCTCCCAACCAGACTAAGCCAACTCCCCACTGAACTTCTGGGGAAGGCTCATGTCCCACCCACCACCAACTCCCAGTGATGGTAGGAAACGCCAGCCAGGCACAGAAAGGGAGGGACGGAAGCCAGGCACAGTGGCACATGCCTGTAATCCCGGCACTCTGGAAGCTCAGGCAGGAAGTTCCCAACTTAGTGAGACCCTGTCTCAAAATAAAAAATGGGCTGGGAATGTGGCTCAGTGTGGAGACCCTGAGTTCAATCCCCAGTACTGCAAAGAATAAAAGTAAAATAGTAGCTGTTTTTAGAGAGAAGGGAAGGAGTGAATGAAAGAACATGTTCAGGCCCTGATACCAATTCCTCAGGTGCAGCCTCCCCACTGGGAAATGTTTGCTGCCGTGTCTGAACATGGACTAGAAGCAGTCCCAGTGCCACCCACCTTTTTAGCAACCTGCCTCTTGGCAGTTATAGCAAACAGGGAAGCAGTCGCAACTTCAAAACAAAAACAAAACCACAATCCCTTGGGCCCTGGGATGTTTTAGGCAGGGCTCTTCGCCCCATGATGAGGCCATGCGCAGACTGGATTCCCAGTCACTCCACAACTGATCCACATGAAAGACGCCTGCATATGGAGGTGGCTGTATCTTTGAGTCTGGTGTGAACGAAATGCCAACCCACCGTGTTGGCAGGGGAACCTCACGACTCCTCTCATCCCCTGACCTCACAGGGGCCTGTGTTCTGTGGACAGGGCTCTCTGAGCTCGCCCAGATGGACCTTCAGGCTGCAGGACTGTAAATGGGGAACAGGAGAGAAGACCAAGGGGGCAGAGAGAAGTCCCTGGGGTCCCTTGAGATGCTCCACTTGCATCAGAGGGCAAGGCCCTTGGATTCCAGGCTTAGCCTCCAAAACTTGCTTCCAAACCACGTCCTCAGCTACAGCTGGCTGAGGTCTCTACATCAAGTGCATTGGTTCTGGCAATTTAAAAGGGCCTTGCCCTCTAATAACATTTTGTGAATAGTTGCTTTGTACCAGTGCTATGTCTCGGAGAAACTGTGATGGACAGGCCTCATTTATAAAAAGGTGTCGCGTTTAGAAAAGTAAATCGAAACCTAGATGCCTTACCACTCTCCTCTTTCTAAATGAAATCTGTAGTGTCTCCTCTCTACTGGACCCCCACCCACTCCTCTCTACTGGATGCTATCTAGTGGTTTATCCTGCCTGTTTGATGAAAGGAGAGCTTTTCACCCCAGCCCTTAGGAGATGTTGGGCACCCCTGAGAGATGTCTCTCCTGGGACTCCCACATCTCTGGGGCAAAGCCCCTAGGCAAACACGCTCCACAGCCCACAGCCCCAGACACGCTGTACCTCCAGGGGCAACTCCGTCCTTCTCGGTGCCTTATACTTGTACATGAAATCCAGCAGGTCTTCCTCCTCCTCCTCGTCAGAAAACGCCAGTGGGTTTTGGACCTGGTGGGGCTCCCAGGTCTTCATACCACCCTCATTCACATCTCCCTCAACCACTTAATGTCCATTTACAATCTACACAGAGGAAACAAAGTACAGCAAGGGGGGGTTCAGTGTTGCAAGGAGCAAGGAAAGGCAAGGTTAGGCACACAGCACAACAAGCCAGGCCTGTTAGGACAGCCGAGCCCCTGTGTCTGAAGAAGCTCCGATGGCTTTGGGTCGTCCTTCAGGGCGGGGGTCAGCGTTGTGCAAATGCAACTGTAAGACTCACCAGGCACCATGCACAGACCCTCAGGCTCAGAATCTACCAAACAGCTACCAAGACGGTGGGGCACCACTTCCCTGGGAGAAGCAGCTGCCTTCACTGAGATGGGTCAAACCCTGCAGCTCAGACTTCCAGGATGCTCCAGGGGAAGGATCTCCTCCAGGAAGGATGGTGGGGTGATCATAAGGGGGCAGTGCACAATTTTCTGTATTACACATACAAGCAGTGTTGACAGTGCATGACACTTGTGTATTCACCCCCATCACTTTTTCTTTCCATTCACATTCTTTCCTAAAGCAACCCACACAAATTTGTGTGTAGCGTGCAAACATGAACTGGCCCTGGGCTTCTGCCTCCCCTCTGAGTTGGAGACAAGAACCAGACTGATTTATTCAAACCCTAGCCACCCCCCAAAGGCCATCACCAAGATCCCGGGCAGCGGCACAGCACTGGCTCTGGGCCCTTGCTGGGGCTGCTCTTCAGCAAGAGGGACACCAAAGCTTGTCCCTGACAATGCCTGACAATGCCCATTGCAAAAGGTGTCTCACCCCCTGGGTCAGGCTCCAACCCTCTAAGAGACAGTATGGAAAATGCCAGGGATCCTTAAGGGATAACACTGAGCAGAACTCTGCGGATTTTCTCCTTTCAAAGGCCAGTCCTAGAAAAGCAAAGAAGCCTGTGGAAGGAGAAATTGAATGAAGCCCCTCCTTCCAATATGACAGTAAGATTCCCATTTCAGTCTGCTTTGAATACCGCAGGAAAAGCTCCAGAATTAATTCCTCTTATTGAGTATACAGTCTATTCTATGCTATCTGGCCAGGCGGCCCTATCTTAGCAGACAGATAAAATAGTCTCTGCTATGCCCAGCTTATCTGACATCCACAGAAACATCTTTCAGCGCTTCTCATATTGTTTTTACCTAGAATCACAGAAGGGAGAGCTCAGATCATCTAGCCCCTCCACCCTGAGGTCTGCAGATAAAAGCTCAAGCTCTTCCTGGGACTCCCTGCCTGCTCCTGAAGACATGATCGGGCACCAAACACGCTTGTCATGACCTGACAGCACCGGGTGTGGAGCAAAGCTGACAACTGAACCGTAATTTTGAACAGCTTTACCGGCTTGTGCTACCAACTCCCCAGCAGCCAGCAGGGGGCAGCATGAGAGCGTAGCAGCCTTAACCAGGTCTTTGAAATCAGCCGCAGGCGGGGGCGGAATCCACTCAGACTGTACCTTAGTAAGGGCCTGACATCATTAATCCTTGGATTGTTTTCACTCCATGCTCCCAGTGGCCTGCTTACTCCAAGTTTAGATTGTTCTCTGGTTCCTTCCCTTGCAAAACTGGCAGGGCTTAGGACTTCCAGCACAAACATTTGCAACTTCAGGGAGACGTCTCTTACTACTGTCCCCCTCCCCGGCCTCCCACCCTCAGACCCCCACCATGCTTGGAGTCTGTAGTTGGAGGTCTGTGCTACGTGCCCTGGTTCTCCTGTCAGTCTCCTGCCTCAGCCTAACAAAAAGCATCAGGCACTGTGGGGCCATGGCTGGTCCTCCCTCATTCCCTCAGAGTGCCTGATTCAGGGCCGGGCACACAGTGGCTACCCATTGAGTGGGACCCTGGGGTCATTTCAGAGGCCTCAGCTCTCACCCCAAGTCAGGGCCTGACACCCGTCAACCAGGAAATTCCTCTGGACACAGACACAATAGCCCATGCCTGACAGGAGGAAGAAGAGATAGAACTGCCCAGGACCCACAGTCCCCAGACCAAGGTCGAATCCACAGAAGCAGGAATCCTGCTGGGTCGAATCCTCCCCAGCAGGAAACAACATTTGGGGGACAGGCTGGAGCCTGTGCCTTGCAACTGTACCTGCTGTTACTATAAATCCTGTTCCAGGGCTTTCCCTGCACTGACTGCATCAGAGGCACCCTGATTCGCTGCACAGCCCTTGGAGGTCTTCTCCCAGTCTGGATACACTAAGGCTGAGCAATGAACTCACACGTTGCCAAAAGAACCATCACCACCTCCAACTGAAAAGCAAAGATCTCGTGGGTGTCCCGCACTGCATCCCTGAGCAAGGACTACAGGATCAAAAAGAAGTGACCCTCAGGCCCACTAGGAGTTAGGGGGCGCTGGATGTCTAAGCAGGATTAGAAAACTAGTGCTTAGCTAAGCAGAGGCTGGGAGCCACCAGGGAGGCTAACATGGGCAGCCTGGGGTCAGAAGAAGGTTCAGAGGGAAGCTGCAGAGAGAGCTTCCTAAAGAGATGGACCCCCAGGTCACTGTGTCCCCTAAGTGTTTCGCCAATACTATCTGTAATACTCTCAAGGCCCATGAGAGTATTAAGCGCTTTGAACAAGCCTGGCCCCAGAGCCTCAGGCTGGCTGTTGCATTGTGGACAGCAAATCTCTTAACTGATGGCCGCTCCATCCTCGCAGAGGTGGGGGAAGCCCCGCGTCTCTGACCGCCCACACCTCAATGCCTGCACTTTAAACTGTCTTCTAACCCCCACCCCGCTGCACTGGCCACTCCTTCCCCCCAGGCTTCATTTTCCTTCCTTTGATTCACTGTCTCACGTCCATTTACACACAGACTTAAGTGTTTTTTGGGACAGGGAGGAGAAGAAATGAGGAAATAAGCCCCAGGGAACACAGTCCCACTGAAGCAGTGCAGAGACCAGGATGCGGGGCAGCAGGGAAAGACAGGCAGTGGTGCCTGCACATCTGCATAGAGCGCGTGACCCTGATGACAGGCCTGAAAGTGTCACTGTCCACATCCTAGTTCCCTGATGGCCTGAGACAACCTGGGTGAGAGCAGGGTCTCCTTTGCAAGGCCAGGGCCCCAGTTCTTCCCAAAACTCAAGTGATGGCAGCCAAAGCCTGAGACCACAGAGCTGCCACAAGGAGCCTTGACGCTGGAAAGCTCAGGAAAGGGCAGGGGAATGTGTGTGTGTGTGTGTGTGTGTGTGTGTGTGTGTGTGTGTGAGCAACCAGTCCGCACGGAGCCCACAGAGCGCAGGCTGGCCAGGGCCCCTCCTCTTCTCTCCGGGTGGGGCAGGGAGGAGAAACCAGCTGCATCTAAGCCCTTTAAAGGCCTGAACAGAGCCTCCTGCTCCGAGCCCTGGGCTGCACCACCCCGCAGTGCCGCAGAACACCCCCAGGTTAGCAAATATATCACACAGCACACGCCAGTGAGTAACAGAAGGCAGCACACACGTCAGAAGAGCATGCCCGTGTGGAACACTTACATCCGCGTGCCCAGCAGCCACCGAGGAGAGAGGAGAGAACACTCTGTTAGGGAAGGGTCTTCAGGAATGAAATTCACACGTATGTGAGTGTGCAAGTGCATGCACGTGCTTACACACACACTTGCTCACTGCACACACTCCAAACCTCGGATGGCACTTCCCTCTGCCTGCTGCGGTCAGAGGAGAGAGACTGGACGGCCAGGGTCATTCTCAAAAACTGCTGCTCATGCTCATTTATATTCATAATCATATTCATCCTCTCTCTCTCTCTGGGATAACTATACTTTAAAATTATGTCCTACATCCTTGGTGTTAAAAGCAGGGGCACCTCTTCTGGCTAATTACAGGCAGTGACCGCAAGTTCAGTTCCAAGTTCCATCAAGGCAGGTGGAGAGAAAAGAGGAGGACGGGGGTAGAGAGAGATAATAGAAGCACAGAGAAAGTGAGGCAGAGACACATGCAGGAAACAGTAGGGAATCTGCCGACAGACGGGCAGGACCTGGGCAGAGGTGGGGAGGGAATGTTCTCCTGGTATCTGAGATGCACGGTGCAGCTTAGAACACAGGCTCTGCGCAACTGCTGCTCCCTGGAGCCTCGGCCTCTACTGTCGCAGGGGCCGCTGCCTCGTGACATGCGCATTAGCCGCCAGGATGACCACTTTTCCTTACCTCAGCCCCACCCTGAATTAAGACCTGGATTTACAACCCCTGGGAGATTTCCCTTTTAGTTCGGGGACCCTGGGGCTCTACGAGTCCCCAAGAACGGCTTGCACTTTCCCAGGATCTGGGCTGAGCAGCCCTACCATGACATCATTTTGGGCGCCCAGGAGGAGAGCAGCTGTGATTCCCTAAAACCCTCTCTTGTGGCATCGCTGCTTGAGAGTCGGCCTCCAGCCCCGGGTCCAAGACGAACCTCCCCCAGCACCATCTGCCGCCACCTCCCAGCCCAGCACTCTTCACTACAGAAGCTGTCAGAGCCCAAAGGACCCTGCGGGCCCAACCCTGCCACCTTCTGGAAGGGAACCTGGGCCTAGAGAGGAGGGACTGTCCCAAGGCCACAGAGGAAAAGGCTGTGCGGCAGCATCACACTAGGGAGCAAGGAGCAGGAGCCCCAGGCCACTGAGCATGAAGAGGGCCCTCAGAGAGGCAGAGTGCGAGAAGGGGCTGGGGCCAAGGCTTCCACTGGGCCCCACTGCTGTCCACTCCTGAGCAGCCCCCAATCCCTCTGGAATAAGGAGCCACTGAATCCCAGACTTGTGCCAGGTGTCCCAGCACTCGGGAGGCTGAGGCAGGAGGATCATCGTGAGTTCGAGACCAGCCTGGGCTACAAAGTGAGCTCAAGGCCAGCCTGAACTGCATAGCGAGACCCTGACTCCGAAAGACAAAAAAAAAAATCCCACACTCTCTTCTGCACATGCAACCTGCTGCGGCAGCCCCCCAAAACGGAAGTCCCTCCAGTCATATGTCAGTGTCCTGGAAGGCAGCCTCTGGTTACAAAAGCACCATGTATCACAGCGGGTGAGGGCTTCCAGCAGTGTGAGGAGGACAGATGGGTCACAGGGCAGCTTTACCCTTCCCAGTCCTCCAGGTGACAACATCCCAGAATGAGAGAAGCATGGAGTTCATATTTGAAATGTTAAAGGGTAAACAGACAGCAGTAACAGGCTTGGCCCAGGCCACGGGGCCTGCATGGTTATTTCCTGGGAAGCAGCCTGTCCTCCAGGCCCCGGTCCTAGCACCTGGCACAGCAAACAGCCACATGAGGGCCCTCTGTTTCTGATATGGGCTGGGGAGCCCACAGAGACACAGGCTGTTTATTCACACCGGGCTAGAACTGGGTTTCCAACCATGCCCCGTGCAGTACTCCTTGGTTTCATGGCTTCCAAAACCCCAGCGGTTTTCTGTAGACCTTAAAAAGCTTAGCACTGAAATGAAGAAATGGAGGGAAAGCAGGACACTTCTAATGCAGTCTCAAATCCTCATGCTTGCCATCCATGTGGAGGAGATGTGCCAGGCCACAGTGGCCCAGGACTCAGGGCACAGGCCATCCTGGGCTTCCTCACACCACCAGCAGGCCGCAGGCTAGGATGACCCCTCCACCTTCCAAGCCAAAGGCAGCTCCTCCGTGAGGGAGCCAGGAAGCGTCACAACGGGATGGAGTCCTCAGATGCCCTTCTTTGTCCCGAATGTGTCCAGTTGAGATCAGGCACACAGGAAGAGCAGGTCATGAGACGCCAACATGGCCAGTGGTGGGGTAGCCCTGCCTCCATCATGCCGTCTCTCACACAGGCTGGGTGGACAGCAGCAGGAAGCCCTGTCCCAAAGTGCAAGACCCAAACTCAACCTCTCTCCCTGACCTGTCCTGGTCACTCCAGGTGATAATAGTAATTCTCTAGAAAGCCCTTCACAGCCATTTCCACAACAGTGCAGTGAGGCAGGAAAGCAGAAGCCTTTATCTCCACTTTATGATGAAGAAACTGAGCTCAAAATAGTTAGTGGTTCACACGAAGTTGCACGGCTAGTAAGTGGCAAAGCAGGACCGGGGCTCCCTTGGCTGCACCAATGCTGGAACCCTCTAGAAACACAGGGCTTCAGGACTTCAGAGGATCTTGGTAAGTTCTTGTGTTCTCATTACCCAGAACACACAGAAGCATGCCCCTGTGCTGGCTTAAAAACACCTGCACACAACCTTGGATATTCTTTCCTTCAAGAGGTGGACATGATGCTCCTCCCCTTGAATGTGGGTTGGACTTGATAATTGGCTTCCAACAAATACAGTAATGCAGAAGCAGTGGGTGGGACTTGAAAGATAAGGTTATAAAAGGTACTGTGGTTTCCTGCCTGCCCTCTTTCTCCTAGATCACTCTGGACCAAGCTACCTGCCATGCTGCAAGGATGCTCAACCAGTCCAGGAGTAAGGAACTGTGGTAAGGAACTGAGGTCCTCAGCCAAGAGCAATGAGAGTCGCCTTGCAGTGGATCCTCCAGGATCACTCAAGCACTGGTGCACAGCTTGACTGCAACTTTGAGAGGTCAAGCCGATTCAAAATTCCTAGCTAGGAACTGGAAGACACTGCACTGTGTGTGCTGCTTTAAGGAATTAGCCTCCTGTGCTCTCCCACCCAACCATGCAGCTGAAAGGGAGCCCAAGGTCAGGTGACAGCTGTGGGTTAGAGCCTCCGCCTGTGGTGAGTCCAGCAGGCTGCAAGGAGGCTGGCTGCTTACCTTTCCAGGTCCGGCAGGTGGAGCAGCAGGTGCACACTGTGGGAATGGGGTGGGGCACCATCAGTGACATCCTCTCCTCCCTGGGTAAACAGGGAGGACCCAGGGTACTGTGGGAATCTCTACGTGTTTGATACAGGGCTCCCAGGAAAGTGAGTCTCCATAGAGACCCCAAGGTGGGGTTCAGATCATCTCAGATTCCACTTCTTTTCAGGTACTATCTAGAAAATACCTTCCCCTGGCCCACAAAGGCCAGGCCTTGCATTGTGCAGCCCAAGGGAGGGTAGGGCATGGAACAGAAGTTTCCTCTGGAAAATAGCTCCAACACCTCCCCTCCCAGAAGCCTCCTCTCTAGGTCTTCTGGTTGAGGCCTCCTCACAATGATCCCCCAAAGAGGAAAATGCTTAGTGTCCAGGAGCTGGGCCAAAGGCCTAACTGGCTACTTCCTGCATACGCTATTGGTCTATTGTGTATGTCCCTCCAAGTTCACTCTGCAGGCAGGGCAACGTCATTCCCTGCCTGCCCTCATCCTTTGAGCCCGGGGGAAGACTCCAGGCAGGTGAGAGGGCCTGTGCAGGGGCAATGCCCAGCCCTACTCTGGGTGCTGAACGCAACTCCAATGCCCAGACTCTGCATCCTCCTCAGACCGCACACAGGGGCCAGGCGTGTGTGTTTGGGGGCAGCTGCAGAGTGGGCAGGAACCTGGGTCCACCTGCTAGGAGCATACAGGCCAAAGTGACCACACAGGAACACTTTCTGCGCCTCCTTTTCCCCTTCCTTGTTTGCTTCTTCTTTTCTTTCCTCAAGAGGCAGGGGGCTTGTTTGCCATTGCACAACACTAAGACACAGGATGAACAGAGATTACCGGGCCCTTGAACCAAAAGCAAAAGCTGAAGGGAACTGTGTCAGTCTCCCGTGCTGTGGTGCAATCCTCAGTGTAACTGCCTGGGGCACTGTCCTGAGAAAAGTTCTGAGGCTGAATCTAGGTGCAGGAGGGACAGGTGTGGTATCTGCTTTGCTGTGTTGCATCTTCTGCATGTGCACAGGCCCAGTGTCAGCTCCCCAAGACAGAGCCCAGTCGCTCCCTGCTCTGATGCTTCCCCCACCTGACCATGCCTGATCTGAGGTCCACACTGCAGCTGCGAGGGGGAGGCATGGCAGCCCTGCATGGCAAGGCTTCCTCTGACAGACTTCCTCCTGGGCACCCTGACCCTCACCCAGGGGCGTGAGAGCACTCTGGTGTGGGCACTCAACCCCATACTGAGGCCTGGGCCACCTTTCACCTGTCTTTCTTTTCGAGAAGGCTTTTATTTGGGGCCTCAGAACAGCTGGGGAGAGTGCCGTACCATCCCTGGCCTCCCTGCTAGGTCAGCACCTCCTTCCTCCACCCAGTAGAAATCACAGGTGTTGAGGTCAAGGGCAAGAGCTGAGGAGGCCTGGACACACTTCAATGTGGCTGGGTCTCTCAGCCCTGAACCAGAGCCCTCCCTGTTGCCTGGGAGGGGGCAGTGTGACAGGAATGTCACTCGCTCTGCGAATGGAGGTAGCATAGCTAATGCCAAAACAAATCATCCAAACCTGTTTTCCACCTGGTGCTGGGCCTGGAAGATGTCAAGGCCTAGGAGACATTCCCGACATCCATTAGATCCCACCAGGCCTCTCACAGTCCCAATCCTGAGGCTTCCCTGGATAATTCTGGAAGAGGAGGCCTGAGCAGGAGGCCTGGATTCTGGTCCTCTGTGGCCTTGGCACAGTGCATGACTTCCCTGAGCCTGCTTCCCCTTCTAGGACCTCCTCTACAATGGCAAGCGAGACTCTCAAAGGGAAAGTGACTGCAGGGCCACGAGGCCACTTCCTAGCCAAAGCGGGGGTCCCTGTCTACAGCCTGACCATTCAACTTTGGCTCAGGCCCTTCAAATGCCTGGGATGTCACTACCTCACAACGCAGCCCATTTTTCTCCTGGACACTTTCAGTATCACAAAGTGCTTTCTTGGGTGTGATAAATACCAAGACCAGTAACAGTAGCTACCATGTGTGCCAAGCACCATGCTAAATACTTGTACTTAGCTTATTCCAGCTGACCCCTACAGATGATGGCATCCTATGTCCAAATGAGGAATCTGAGCTATGGAGAACATGAAGAGCTTGCCCAGATCACACAACTACGGAGTGGCTACTTTGTCCCTTGGTTCTTGCTCTTCCCTCTGGGCCTCACAGAATAGGGCCCTTTTCTCTTCCAAGTGACAGTTCTCATTTGAGGCTCAGGAGCCAATGATCTGAACAAGAGTGGAAGTGTCACCTGCTTGTGAGGCAGTGCCCAAGAGCTGGGAGGCCACACTCTGCTGCATCCCACCAGCAGGTGACTCTGGTGACAGTCCCCTTGCCTAGGCCTTAGTCTCTTCACTGGTACAATCAAAGGGTTAGACTGGGTGGTCCCTGAGGTTCTTTCCTGCCTGGACCTTGGGGATTCCATGCTGAGTTCCAGGGGAGGGGAGATTCCCACAAAGGACAAGCTGGCCCTGTCAGGCATGCTGGCACATGCCTTTAATCTCAGCACTTGGGAGGCTGAGGCAGGAGGATCATCATGAGTTCGAGGCCAGGCTGGGCTACATAGTAAACTCAAGGCCAGCACAGACTATAGCGAGACCCTGTCTCAAAAAACCCCAAAAGAACAAAAGAAAAAAGAGACAAGCCTTGCCTCACCCCGACAGCCAAGCCTCTGCCTCCCCGGTTCTACCTGGGCATCTGGGGTTAAAACATCTTCCACTAAAAATCTACACTTGTCAAACCTGCAGGAGGAGCAAAGGGCTCATTACTGAGAAGGGAAGGAGCACAGACACCAACGTGCGTGGCTGTGGGTGTGAGTCACCACTCTCAGAGAACCACGGCTCCTGCTCCCCCACCCCGAGAGTCAGGTGGGGTCTTACGGGATCTTCAGCTCAGGGCAGAGGCGCCCCCTGCAAGCTGCACCTCAGAGCACACCACCAGGCGGCTGATTGCAGGCAGGGCAGACAGCACGCACACATCCACAGATTCCAAAAGCATGGCCCCATTCCCACCTCTTCCCCTAGGCAGCAGTCTAGCAGCATCTCTACACCTCCTTCATCAACCCTCTGTCAGCAGCAGCGGGGCTCAGCTTCTGAGATCCAAGGTCCTTGTCACCTCTCCCAAGAACAACCTGGGAAATGGGAGTCCTGGTTCCCAGCTCCTGATTCAAGTCCACGGCCCAACTTGCTGCGAGCATAAAGCCCATGCTGAGGGATCAGATGCTGAGGGGTCAGATGCTGAGGGATCAGATGCCGCGGGGTCCCCAGCACAGCTGCCCCTCAAAAGTGTCACACATCTAGGTCTCACTCCAGACCTACTGGGGCCTCTGGGGATAGGTCCAGGATTCTGCATGCTGGACAAGGTTCCCAGATTGGTCCCCACATGAGCAGTCTCACATTAGGCGCTTGAAAATTGGAGTTTGACACTGGAGGTAGAGGGGGTGACCAGTGGCCCTGGCACCCACAGCACTGAACCTCAGAGCTAGTACGGCCCTTGCTGTGTGGGAGCTGTGGTGTGCACGGTGAATGGGTGGTCAGGGAAGAGAAGGAGACAGAAGAGTAAGAGAGAGGACAGGAAATGGTAGACAGGAAGAAGGCCTGTTAGAGGCAGTCAAAACAGGAAAGGCCCCAGAGCTGGAGTCAGAGAGGAAGAGATCAAAGAAGGCACCCACTGCCTAGCTCCAGCTGTGCCTGTTGCCTCTAGGATTGGCCTAGGCGCTACCGCTCACGTACCCCCAATTCTCCAGGCAGACAGATGGAGGAGGCAGGACCCTCAGGTGCGGAGTCCCTGGGCCAGCTTCCTGGTGTGGCCTGAGTGACGCTCCGCCCCTCAGCTGGCCTGGCATGGTCTGATGGACATCGCTGCCGGTGACACGTCCACCAGCAAAGGCGAGACTGAGTGTCTCTCAATGAAAGCCAGGCACCAGGGGCGGGTGGGGTGGAGGGGAAGCGAAGACACCTACCTGAGCTGCCAGCGCTCTCAGAAGCACTCCTGGACATCTTAGGCTGGCCGTGTTTGCCGCTGGCCCGCCCAGCCCCGGGCGGAGGGGGCCCCGCAGGAGCAGGGGCAGCGTCTCCCCTGATGGTGGTGAGGTCCTGCATGCTGAAGCTCCGGAGTCTCTCTGATAAGGCACCCTGTCCCTGGACACAACACAGGAGGGCACACGTCAGAGGCCCGCACAGGTTCATGGGCAGCGGTGGGGCAACTCAACGAAGGCCGAGGAACCTGTGCTCTGAGGGTCGGTGAGGTGGAAATCAAGACCGGGCTGTACCTGCTGGACACAATGAGGGATCCAGGCCTCTCTGATTCCAGCCCCACCTCTACTCCACCCGCCACCGGCCGCAGAGCTCAGCCATTGCTCTTCTGGCTTGAGCCTTCGTCCTCAGATACCCTGTGATGAGCGGAAACCCTGGGCTGACGAGGGCCAGGGGATGACTACTGCCGAGCTTATTCTCTAGAGGCCGCTGGCTGCCTCTCTGCCTTTGCACAAGTAAAAATCCATATATGGCTTCATTTTCCTCAGTTCTCAGTGTACAGGAATCTGGTCAGAAAATCAAAACCTACCATGCTGTGTTCAGTGCTCACTCTTTTCAAAGGATATAAAATATAGACAGTGTTTTGTAATGTCTGACCGTTCTTTCTTTTATCTGTCCTTTCTTTTATCTGTACAGCCGTTCCTGTTTATAAGGCACATTTATGTTGGCACATTTGGGTTTCATAAAATACCCAAAAGGTAATGAATCAGGAAAGGAAAAATGATATTAAAAAAAAAATTCATGCCGCTGATTTAACCATGTCATATTCTCAGGAAGCCACAGAATTAATCTCGGGAGAGGGCTGCTCTTTTGTTGAGGAAAGCAAGATAAATGTACTGTACTCATAAAAGGGAAGCTCTCTGCTGCCTGGCGGGGAGAATCTGTCGGCAAGCACAGTATCACAGCGAAGGCCCAGGGGGCAGAGACACTTGCTCTGGGTGCACCTCGGGGTGGGAGAGAGACTCGAGTTTGGGGAAAGGAAATCCCAGAGTGGAACTGAGGAGGGCAGGAGGCTGGAGTCACTGAGAGCTGGCTGGGATTTGGAGCAAGAAGTGACAGGCATGTAACCACCAAATTTGTGCACTCTGGCATGTTCATGGGTGTGGGGGAGCAGCCTGCTATCAGGTACCGAGGGTGGCAGTGGGGACCCCAGACACATGGGACAGCAGGAGTAGGAGAGGTATTTTGTTTGGATAATGAAAGAGTGGCCCTAGAAGTCAGGAGGACTTAGGAACAAAAAGGCACAATGACATAACCGAACAGACAAATCACCACAGAGGCGATCAGAGCAGCTAAAACTGGACCCAGGCTGGTGAGTCGGAAGAAACAAGCGAGGACCCAAATGACTTTGTCTGAGGCTTTCAAAGAAGGGAAGCAGGCTTGGAAGAGGCTTTTCATTTCATTTAACAGAAATAATAATGATAATAATGAAAGTGAAGCACTAGACCAACAAAGCACAGCAATTCACAAAAGTGAAAGTTCCAGCTAGAAGAAGGCACGATGCAAAAGGAGTTAGTGGAAAGGGACAAACGAAAGGGGCTCACAGAAGGCTTAAGAGAAAGGCCAGAATGGAGCAAAGCTGCATTTCGATCTGGGATAGGGAAGTTCCCAGTCTTCCGAAGACATAAACCAGGCCTCCAGGATGCTAACAAAATAACAACAGAAAACTACTCCAGAATCATATATATCCTTGGAATTATAAACCCAGGCAAAGGAGTGTTTGCAGGACATTATGTGAAAAAAGACAGAAATCACCCTCATTGCCTCAGATACTGCTCTAGATTGATGGGGAGCAATAGTCCCAGGCCTTGCATCTAGGAATTAACACCTAGAAGGTCTTTGCCAAGAAAATGAGGGCTGGATCAGCCACTCATTGTATCCCTTCCAAATCTAACAGCCAGTGATCCACGGTCACTTTACTCAGGAACATTTTAAATGACACTGAATTTGGTTATATTTGTGGTGCTAGGCGCTGATGCTACCCTTGAGCTACACACCCAGCCTGACATCTAGAATTTGGAAGAACAAACAATGAGGCTGAACAGTGTGAGACACAGTCTGATAATTACAACCGAGGAACTGAATGTGAGGTTAACAATCAGGCAAACCATTTGCTGACACGCTCTCTCATTTGTCTTCCTGTTCATTTATTAATCTGTTCAACAATGATTTATCAAGCACTTTCTGTGGGCAACGCACTGTACTAGGTGTTATTAGTGCAGTGCTCAATTTCTGACAAAACATAAGAAGACAAAAGGACAAGTGACAATGCAGAGGTGCCGTACCGGAAGCTACAGAACATCAGAATAAGAACAAAGGCTCTCAAGTCAGGTCTGGGTCCACATCCGCTCCTGTCACTCAGCAGCCAGGTGATCGCGGCCTCTCTCCACCTCTATACTCATCTGCAGAAGAGCATCCCGCTGGCAGGGCGGTGGTGGGGGTTCAGGGAGATGATGCCCTTCAAATAAATACCCATTACAGAGCCCAAGGCGGATTAATGTTAAACAATGCCAAATATGGCAACAAAGATGATGTGGCCACCTAAGTTGCTGCTGAAATCAGAAAACAGAAAAGATCACTTTTATCCAAAAGGACCAGGAGGGGCTTCATGGGACTAACTCCATCAGTGTAGACTGCCAGTTCTTGCCAGCGCTCAGCAATGTGTCTGAGAGGAAGCAGCAGGGGGCATCGTGTGCATCTGCGTTAGCAAAGGGCTCCGTTTCACTCCCAGAAGCCAGCCTGCCTAGCTCCCCTCACGAGCATCAAGAAGACTGGGAGTGGCAGGGGTTAGCAAAGAGGAGATAATAATAGCTCCGTTCCCGTCCAGTCCTGTGTCAGAGTCAATCACAGTGGCGTGGAAATAAGAGTCTTGCAAACAAATTAGTCCTTTCCTGTCAAAACAGTGGGAGATGTTTAAAATCAACATGTCGCTCTCGTTTGTAAACCTCTCAGCCGTGCTCAGCCTCTACTCAAAAGCTCATTCTCTTTCAGTTCTCACAAACCTCAATCTACCCTGCCACTTCGGCTCTGCTCTGGAGGACCTTTGTTTTCTTATTCTGGACCACTGTCTTCTGGGAACAACCAAGAGTTATCCCTACTTTGGGAAAATAAATATGGATTGGATTCCCTAAGTTTGGAAAAGCTTTATACTATACCCTCAAATTAACGAGCTGCATTACAATAGTCAAAGAAGTCTGAGAAGTCCTGCAGTGCTCCAGGTTATTTAATTTAGTGTATCCCAAATGTATCTGACCACAACGAGATACACTCAGAGGACCGTCCAAGAGTCATTCCCAACTCCATTTTTGACACGATGAGGAAAAAAACGCATTTCCCAACCTTCCTTGCAGCTATAGATGGCCTTAGTTGCAATTCTGGCTAAGGGGATGTATGAGGAAATCTGCTAAGGGATTTCTGGAAAAGATGTTTTCCTGATATATAGGAGAAGAAAAGCCTGACCTTGCTCTCTGCTTTCTCTGTGGTTCAGAGGCCTGGAATTGACATCTTGTGAGCAAGAGCCTTGGTATCACTAGGTCACTGGAATAATGATATCTCCCACCTAGCCTGAGACTTCTCGTAAATGATGTTTACTGGTTCCAAGACACATGTTTTTTTCACCTCTGAAACTGGGGTGATCTTACAATTGCTGCCACCCACACCCCCACCCACACACACTGTCATCACTGTCCACACATGAACACACTTGGCTGTTATGCTCCAGGGCATGGCTAGGCAAAGGAAGCCCCTGACTGGGCAAGCCCCTTAAGAACCACTAGAGGAAGGAATATGAGTTCTGCTTGTGTAACACACATTCTGTGGATACCTCTCATACAACCAGGAAAGTGGTAGCATCAGAACTAGCAAGATGGGTATCAGCAGCCTAAAAGAAAGTTCTAGAAAGAACTCCCCATCAGCAAAGCATGGGAAGGAACAGAGAATGATACAGCATGGCTATAAATGGTTAAGCTGAGCTTCAAAGTAACTCAGAAGACTACTCAGTCAGTGAAGAACGGGGTTAGGAGGACTTTAACCCATTCATTGTGCTTTAATGTTTCTTTTAATTGTGTGTGCCAAAGTGACACACACACACACAACTATGACTAAGTTTTTTCAAGAGAAGTAGTACACACTCTTAAGCGAAAATGCACTGTGATCTAATTTCATTGCCAATATCTTCTTTCTTAATGGTGCTTAAGATAATGATATGACCCCAGTACTCTGGCAGGCTGAGTCAGGAGTATCATAGGTCTGAGCTCAGCCTGGGTAACTTAACAAGACCCTGTCTCAAAATAAATTTTAAATTGGATGTGGTGATGCACGCCTATAATCCCAGCACTCGGGAGGCTGAGGCAGGAAGATCATTGCAAGTTCAAGACCAGCCTAGGCTACATAAGTAAGTTCAAGGCCAGCCTGAACTATGTATTGAGACACTGTCTCAAAAAGACAAAAATAAATAAATACATAAATAAATAAATAAATAAATTTTTACAAGGGTTGGGAAGATGCAGCTCAATGCAAAGACCTTGGGTTCAATCCCCAGTATCAGTTTGAAACAAGATGAGTATATCTTACAAACCTCAGCATTTAGACTCAATTAAACAAGATCACACAGCTCAGAGCAGCTTTCTCTAAGCATCCCAACTCCCTGAAATATGCTCTCAGTGCAGCCTGTCCGTCTTCGTTGTGCTCCATACAGTTATGTGTAGCTGTTGGTTTGTCTCCCCCTGCAGATTGTTTCCTTACCATTGATGCCTGGGGTCTGTCACTCTACTCGGGTCTGAAGGAGTTGAAAACATGAACCTATCACCATCTCAGCTTCCTGAGAACAGTGGCAGGAAGTCTTCACCCCACCCACCTGGATGCCTCAGCCAGAGTCCCAGACCTCAGGGAGCATGCTGCTGAGTGGGGCCTTGGGATGTGTCCAACAGGAATACATGGGAAGTGGCAGAGGGTATAGGGTGCTGAGGACAGAGGGCACACACTTGAGAGGCAAGGTATCCCAGGGGAGGCTCACTGCCCTTGAACTGGCCTTGCAGGGTCTGGTGGGTGCAGTTGGCGACCAGGTAGAAAGGGGAATGTATTTCTTAGTATCTGTCACACAGAGT